ATAATCAATTATTTCTGATAAATTTAGATATTTTTTAATTAAATATTTTGTAATAACAATCATTACATCCTTATATTTAGTTTTCAACAAAGAAAATTTTTTTTAACATAACCCTTCATTTTTTCTAATGTAAACATTTACACAAAATATATTTAAGAAATATTCAATTTAAGAAAAATATTATCATCGAAAACTATATCGAATTAATGGTTTTTTGTATTTTGATGTCTTTAAAATTGATTTTAATGAAAATATGAATTTTTCTTGAATCAAATTAATAATTGATATAACTTATTAATTATTCAAAAAGATTGATTTTATTTTAGACACCTAAATATTTAAAGAATTTAACTTTCAAATCATAGTGATTAATCAGTACTACTTCAATCATAATTTCATCCTTTTTAGAATATCCTTAAGTTTCTTTATAAATAATAATTAACTATGATGATAATATTTATAACTTCAATTAGCTAATATATCATTTCTAGCTAATTCAATAGCTTTGTTCTTATATAGCTTTATTTTAATAAGATGTTGAAAAGATGCCCTTATAATAAATATATTTTAGACCTCTTTTTTATAGAAAGCACAAACAAAATCTGATTTAAGCAAATAGCTTTCTGGAGGTCTGATAAATCTCTTATGTCTAATCTTAGTGAAATAAAATTGTTGTTTATCATTTAATTTGAGTAGATAAAATTAGAATATCAGAGATATAAGGAAATCTATTAATCCTTATCTTAGAGTATGAAATAAAGAGAGAGTGTAGGTGTTAATAAATAGGTTAATACTTAATATGGAGAACGATAAGGAGAAATGCATAAACTTATAATAGGAAGTAAAGAATATTTTTGTATAAAGATAGGCTTTACTTTCATTAATAAGTTACTGACTACCTTATTTACACAAGTCATAATTAATCTCCCTCATATAAAGCAAATATCTTATAAAATCCAAAATAGTAAGAAGAGAAATACATTTTATTTTGAAACAGCCAAATTTATCTAAAACTAGAGTATTTAAAAATTTTATAAGATAATTTAGATTAGAAAAAAGAATGTAATATAATTTAATGATGCATTTTTTTTTATATGTTTGGAATTAGATTTGATAGATGTCTGAGGGTTTAACATTTTGTCCTATCTTACTATTTAATTAGGGTCTGAATATACATTAAATGGATAAATAAGTATATTTAAAAATTAAATGGAGAATACTGTAAAGTATATTTTATTATTAAAATAGTTAAATATTCAACATATATTTTAAAATGCAAATAATTCCGATATTTAATAACCATATTGAGACCATTTCTAAAAGAATTATACTGCCATATTAACCATTGCAAAAATGGTAAATCCAACTAATCCCCACATAATCAATGATAATCTATCTCTTTTTTTTAAATTATTAAAAATAAAAGAACTAGAGAAATAACATCCGATAACAGTCATTGTAAACAAAGAAATTGCTTAAAGCATACCCATATAACCTAGAATAATTACTTATGCTGCAACTTAAAATGAACTAATTAAAACATTAAATGATGATGTTCCTGTACTTTAAATAGTTGTGAATCCCATTCTCAAATACATTGGTATCAAAATCATACCACCTCCTAAACCAAATCCATTAAATAAACCAGCTTAAAATGAATCTCTTAAACATTCTTTTTTTAATGGTTTTAACTCTTCTTTTTAAAATCTATCAAAAATATAATCAAAATAATAATATAATATTACAACCAAACCTAATGTAATCATCCAATAAAAGAATCCACAATAAGATATTCCTATAATTGATTTGAAATTTGAAGACCCTCTTAGAAAAAACCCTAAAAGTACAGTTATAACAATGACACAAATTGTTACAATTAAATCCAAATTCTCTTTTAATGATGTACTCTACATAGATACTTATTTTTCTTCTGATAATTTATCTATTATAGGAATCTCTATATAATTCTTAGTTAATTTTCTTTAATTTTCATTATTCCATTCTTTAAGAGCAGTTATATAAAACTGTTTGCATGAAAAAAATAAAAAGTATTGCAAAATAGATATTAAAAAAAATTCAGGTAATATCTTATTTAGAATAAGACCTACCATACTACCTATTATCATTGCTGGACATACTACTATTCCACTTCTTATCTTAACAACTGGACTTTTTGTTTATGGATCTTCTTGCTAAGCGAGATTTATGAAATTTCCTAAGGCAGCTCCAAATATAGGTAAGAAGACTCCCAACAAGGCTTCTTTCTATGAATAGTTAAAAAACATTGTCATTAAAGAAACTACAACTCCTCCTCCTCCTATCCCTAAAATATGATATAATTTAATTAAATACCTGCAAGGGATGCAAATCCTGTAAAAATAGCTATACTAAGCATACCTATTAATTCAGGAAAGGTTGGAGGAAAGAAATTCTTATGAGTGCATATTCCATCTATACAATTATAAAGAGAAACACATTCTGATTAAAATGTACAAGGGTGATTATTTATCATTAATAATTTTAAAATTATAATATGAATTATGGTGAATATAAGTATAAAATTTATAGAGTAATTTTTATTTCAAAAAAGGAAAAAGACAGCTGCATTTTCATAAATTGTTCTTTTGACATTAACTCAAGATAAATATTGATGTCATTGATTTTAATTTAGAGAAATATATTCAATATGTTAATTATTTTTTATTGGATGAGATAGATAGGTTTTTACGACAGTAAATTTTGGGATGATATAAACAATTGTATCAGAAAATTTTATTTTCCTTCAATAGCATTAGCTGATATTAATAATGTTAATCAATAATAAAAAGTTGAACTTATACTGAGTTAATGTACAAAAACTAGATAAAGATTTATTAATCTAATTAAACAATTAGAAGGAGCATCTACTATTGCGTTTACTCTTACATTTAGAAATTATCTATTCTGAAATTAAATCATAAAATTGGCTATCTAAGTTACCTTAAAATTACAGAATATTTAATTTAAGAACTTAAAGTGCTAGTCAAGGTATATTCTATAAAATATTCTATTTAGAAGTCAAATGATTCCCTAATTTGATTTTGATACTATTATTAGATTAATAGATTCAACGTAAATTTATTTTTATACTTAATAAAATGATATTCAATTATTAAGTAAATTTATATATTTCAATTTTTAATTTTTAGTATTTGAAAGTCTCAAAAGGTCTCTAAATCAAAATTACAATAATTCTCAAAAGTAAATAGGTCAACTTATATATTTATGATCATTTAATTTTGAAATAAGAAAATTTTAGGTCTTATTTTTTAAGTATTAATTAAATAGTAAATAAGGCATTATTAAGGTGATTCTTCAACAAAAAACATTGTTGAAATTAAAGGTTTAATTGTTCCTGCCTAAATAACTCATAATTTTATGATAGATCAATCTTTTAGTGCCTGAAATTAATACTTTCGTTTAATCGTTCTTGTATATCATATTTNCAACTGGACTTTTTGTTTATGGATCTTCTTGCTAAGCGAGATTTATGAAATTTCCTAAGGCAGCTCCAAATATAGGTAAGAAGACTCCCAACAAGGCTTCTTTCTATGAATAGTTAAAAAACATTGTCATTAAAGAAACTACAACTCCTCCTCCTCCTATCCCTAAAATATGATATAATTTAATTAAATACCTGCAAGGGATGCAAATCCTGTAAAAATAGCTATACTAAGCATACCTATTAATTCAGGAAAGGTTGGAGGAAAGAAATTCTTATGAGTGCATATTCCATCTATACAATTATAAAGAGAAACACATTCTGATTAAAATGTACAAGGGTGATTATTTATCATTAATAATTTTAAAATTATAATATGAATTATGGTGAATATAAGTATAAAATTTATAGAGTAATTTTTATTTCAAAAAAGGAAAAAGACAGCTGCATTTTCATAAATTGTTCTTTTGACATTAACTCAAGATAAATATTGATGTCATTGATTTTAATTTAGAGAAATATATTCAATATGTTAATTATTTTTTATTGGATGAGATAGATAGGTTTTTACGACAGTAAATTTTGGGATGATATAAACAATTGTATCAGAAAATTTTATTTTCCTTCAATAGCATTAGCTGATATTAATAATGTTAATCAATAATAAAAAGTTGAACTTATACTGAGTTAATGTACAAAAACTAGATAAAGATTTATTAATCTAATTAAACAATTAGAAGGAGCATCTACTATTGCGTTTACTCTTACATTTAGAAATTATCTATTCTGAAATTAAATCATAAAATTGGCTATCTAAGTTACCTTAAAATTACAGAATATTTAATTTAAGAACTTAAAGTGCTAGTCAAGGTATATTCTATAAAATATTCTATTTAGAAGTCAAATGATTCCCTAATTTGATTTTGATACTATTATTAGATTAATAGATTCAACGTAAATTTATTTTTATACTTAATAAAATGATATTCAATTATTAAGTAAATTTATATATTTCAATTTTTAATTTTTAGTATTTGAAAGTCTCAAAAGGTCTCTAAATCAAAATTACAATAATTCTCAAAAGTAAATAGGTCAACTTATATATTTATGATCATTTAATTTTGAAATAAGAAAATTTTAGGTCTTATTTTTTAAGTATTAATTAAATAGTAAATAAGGCATTATTAAGGTGATTCTTCAACAAAAAACATTGTTGAAATTAAAGGTTTAATTGTTCCTGCCTAAATAACTCATAATTTTATGATAGATCAATCTTTTAGTGCCTGAAATTAATACTTTCGTTTAATCGTTCTTGTATATCATATAAATAGATAGAGAGAAATCATAATTGTTGACTAGATTGCCCTAATAAATTAGCTGATCTATGCTCATTTAATTCAATTTTTTAGTAATCCTTATTATGCATTTACTAATCAGTGTTCCATTAGTTTATAATCTTAATTAAAAAATGAAATAAATTTAAGGATATTTTTACTCGGTGATTATTTTCAGTTAGAATTAATATGAACTTTCAAGAATTGAACTTAGAATTCTAGTACTATATATATTTAATATTATGTTTTTTGATTAAATAATTTAAAATGATAGAATATGAAGATGAACTTACTTAATGTTTGAAACATAAGGTTCCTATCCTAATGATAAATTGTGACAAATAAATAAAAAGAAATTAAAGACTTTTATGCTCTGAATGCATGAAAAATTTAGAATCAACAGTCCAATTAATGAGTTTTTAGAAGGTTTTTGATGATATCAGAGAAACTCAAAAATAAAAGATAGAGGTTGTTGAAAATGAGATAACGATTAGCATAAAGCATATTGAAAATATAAAAAAAAGGTTGTTAGTTATTATAATTTAATATAATTCAATAATTAGATTAATTAATAGGAAATGTAGATGAATGGATGAAACAAATTTTAACAATTAGTAAATAAAATACAAATTTTTGTTTTTATGATGAACTGGACAATCTTATTAATATAACAAAACTGGATGAATTCAATTAGGAATCATTAATAAATTAAATTAATGATATTAATAAATCATGGAACTAAAAAATAACAAATAACTTCATTTCTTTTAAATAGTTTATAGAATGTCTAAAATTAGAAGATATATCAAAAAAGTAAGAAAATAAAAATGAAATAACAGAGAATGCAAGATAATATATATTAATTGATGGAAACTAAGAAACAAATATTAAAAAATAAAAGGAAGTAGAAAATTAATAGTAATAATTAGAAAAATAATAGTTGATTATTGATAAATAAATTGAATTAACATTAATAGATGATTCAAATTAGTAGAGTTTATATTGTTATGCAATAGTGTTTGATAATAAAGAATAAATTATGATTTCAACTTGTAATAAACAAATTAAAATTTGGAATTTTTATAAAGGAAAATTTAAATTATCTCATACTTATGAAAAACATTAAAAAGCTGTTACATCTTTAGTTTATAGTAAATTTTAAAATCATTTATTTCTGGTTCAGATGATAAAACAATTATATGTTGGCAATAAATTAATCAAAAAGAGTGGATTTTTTCATAACCTTATAAAAATCATAAAAATAATGTTTATTGTTTAACATTAAATAGATAAGAAGATTAACTTATATCAGGAGGATCTGATAAAATAATAATAGTCTGGTAGGTAGATTTTATGAAGAATGAATTGACAATCCTTTATTCTTTAGATAGTCATGCTAATAGCGTATTTTCTGTCAGTTTGAATTAAAGTGAATCTCTTATGGCAGCGGTTATCATGAATTTATAATATGGGAGAAAGGACTTGAAAGTAAATGGGAATTGAAATTTAAATAAGATATATCAGCTGATGGAAAAAAAATTCATTTTATTAATGATTAATAATTTGTTTGGGTACCTCTAAATTGTTTGTTAATGATCTTTTGGTATTTGAATCATAAAATGGAATCTTTTAATTAAATTCTAATAAGACAATAACTTTAATAAGGAATCATCAATGTGAAGATGCATCTTATTTTCCAATTATACATAATAAGGATAAAAATATAATATTAGTAAGACACAAGCATCATATCTATTTAATTAGAGAATTGAATGATGGTACATTTAAAATTGTTAAATCATTTAATTGTTAAAGCAAAGATTTTTATGGTTCTATGACCAATAATGGATAGTATTTAGTTTTTTGGAATAAGAAAAGTTCAAAATACTCATCATATGAGATATAATATAATTGAATATAAAATTAATATTTTTATTCATTTTCATTAGTTTCAAATTAATGGATATCATCATTAATTATTATTATTATTATCCCTCCTTGGATGAACATAAAACATTTTAACTGTACAAGGATCTGAAACACTTTTTTGATTGTCTCCTAGATTTCACTTAGGCTGCTGCCATCTTCCTAAACTTTCTTCACTATTCTGGTGTAGATTTTCTCTCTGAACTGCTTAAAGTCAATTTCTTCTTCATGAACTCTTCTGTCGTGGTTGTTAATCTCTGGAATTATATTTCTCTTTATATTGAAGTAGTCCTCAAGCACTGTTCTCCTAGTTTTTTAACTTTAAACTCTACCACTTAATGGATAGACAATTTTCACCCAATTGAGACAACTAAGGAATTTTCATAAATTCTTATTTAATGTTTTAAAAGTTATTCCAAGATTCGTTTATTACTTAAAGGCATTTGGATAAATAAATGAGTACTTTTTTTAAGCTTTTGAACCGATTGAAGTTTCAAGTCATGTATCCTAGATAAATACTATATCTTTTGTTAGTTTACCCATTCTTTGTCATCAGTGTACCTGATTCTGCCTATTTCAGTATTCCTTTTCTTGAGTATTAGTATAAAGATTTTTAAGGATTGCTGGGATTGAAAGTCCTAGAACAAGGAAAACGAATGTCTTTACTAGTTTAATTAACTAGATAATTCACATTAGACTACTTGCAGGTTGCTTCTGAATAATTTATTTATTGGCAGGGATAATTAAAATTCTTAATTTTAAATAATTATTATATTATGAATTAATAACCTTATTTTATTTTAAGTAAAAATTTTCTTATTTCCTCAAGTTTCAACAATTGAAAAAAATTATTTTAGATGATTTAATAATTAAATTATTTAAACTTGAAGACTCTTGTTAAAACATGAAAAGACAAAAATTAAAGACAACTAATATTAAATAGTGAAAATTTTTCTTGTAAAATTAAATCAGATTTCAATTAATCAGGCTTTCTATAAAAGTTGTTTGAGAAATGAAGTTTGTATTTAAAATTCCAACCTTAATTAAAATCTAATCATTTCTGACTTTAGTATTCTTGATAATTTTTCTAAGATAAAAAGCAAAATATATAAACAATTAAATTAATTAATAAAAATATTAGAGCAATATTTAGTTCATTTTTAGTTTATTTTTGCTTTAACAAAGAGTTCACTAAAAATGATCATGCCGTCAGAATTTTCACTTGTATATCATTAATACCATATCTACTTAGCAAAAGTTAAATATTTTAAAAAATCATTATTAAAGTTGATTAACATATTCATAAGATGGGCTTATTTTTTTATATTGATTTTCAACAGTAAAATTATAGAAGTAGAGCTAAGTAAAACATAAATAAACAACTAATTTCTAGTAATTATTCTCAAGGTCATGGGCTCTTTTTGTATTAGAAGAAGGAAAATAGTTTTTCTAACATGAATGATTCTGTCGAGTGTGCATCAAGCCATCAATATATTGAATTAAGGTCTCAACTTTGGCAATCTTTTTAGAATAATTAGAATAGAAGGTATTATTATCTTATGAATATAATGGTTAGAGAAATTTATTTTCAATCTAATTATTTATAAGTTCTTTCGACCTATCTAATTTAAAAAATTCTTCCTAGCAGTTATTGCTAATTTAACTAAAATTTCAATATCTGATTGAATAAATACTTGATGTAATTTAGGAACATTATATGCTTTTGCTCTTGTCTGACTTATTCCAATTTAATAGTGAACATTTATGTACGCATCCAAAAGTATAGTCTAGTTCTATTTAATTCTGTAATATTTTAATGTATTTCTTTCTTCAAATTCAAATATTGTGTTAATTAANATAATTATTATATTATGAATTAATAACCTTATTTTATTTTAAGTAAAAATTTTCTTATTTCCTCAAGTTTCAACAATTGAAAAAAATTATTTTAGATGATTTAATAATTAAATTATTTAAACTTGAAGACTCTTGTTAAAACATGAAAAGACAAAAATTAAAGACAACTAATATTAAATAGTGAAAATTTTTCTTGTAAAATTAAATCAGATTTCAATTAATCAGGCTTTCTATAAAAGTTGTTTGAGAAATGAAGTTTGTATTTAAAATTCCAACCTTAATTAAAATCTAATCATTTCTGACTTTAGTATTCTTGATAATTTTTCTAAGATAAAAAGCAAAATATATAAACAATTAAATTAATTAATAAAAATATTAGAGCAATATTTAGTTCATTTTTAGTTTATTTTTGCTTTAACAAAGAGTTCACTAAAAATGATCATGCCGTCAGAATTTTCACTTGTATATCATTAATACCATATCTACTTAGCAAAAGTTAAATATTTTAAAAAATCATTATTAAAGTTGATTAACATATTCATAAGATGGGCTTATTTTTTTATATTGATTTTCAACAGTAAAATTATAGAAGTAGAGCTAAGTAAAACATAAATAAACAACTAATTTCTAGTAATTATTCTCAAGGTCATGGGCTCTTTTTGTATTAGAAGAAGGAAAATAGTTTTTCTAACATGAATGATTCTGTCGAGTGTGCATCAAGCCATCAATATATTGAATTAAGGTCTCAACTTTGGCAATCTTTTTAGAATAATTAGAATAGAAGGTATTATTATCTTATGAATATAATGGTTAGAGAAATTTATTTTCAATCTAATTATTTATAAGTTCTTTCGACCTATCTAATTTAAAAAATTCTTCCTAGCAGTTATTGCTAATTTAACTAAAATTTCAATATCTGATTGAATAAATACTTGATGTAATTTAGGAACATTATATGCTTTTGCTCTTGTCTGACTTATTCCAATTTAATAGTGAACATTTATGTACGCATCCAAAAGTATAGTCTAGTTCTATTTAATTCTGTAATATTTTAATGTATTTCTTTCTTCAAATTCAAATATTGTGTTAATTAATAAAAGATATAAGAGTAACATTTAAAAAAAATTAATAGAAATATATAATTAAAAAAAAAGATAATGAATTGCACTCATCATATTCAATGTCCAATAAATTTCATATGTATAGCTCCTCACAAGTGTTAATATTAAAGGAAACTCTGTGTTTAATGCATTAACGAACATAGAGTAGATATCTAGCATATAGTTGAGATAAATAAATTTCGAGAAATGGTTATTTAGAAAATAAAAGACTATTAGTTTGATAAGGCTTCAGAATTAACCAAATAGAGAAATAATTTTATATCTGTTCTCTCTCAAATCGAAGGGATTCTGAAGAAAATTTGGAAATAATTAACAGAATCTATCTAATAATTATACGATATGTTTGAGATATAAAATAAATCATATTTGAATATTATTAACGAAAATACAAATCTAATAGAACAGCATCGTACTTAATTAGATGAATTAGTACTAATTTTTAAAGGTCAAAAATTTTAAGATTGGAATGCTTATTAAAATTCTTTTTTGATCAAGTTGGAAAACGTGAAGAATTGGTGGGGCCATGAAGTTGAGGATTTTAATGAAAGGTTGAAGAAATAAATCAAAGTGTTTTTTCCATTTAATTAGTAAGAGTTTAAATAATTGTCAATGCTTCAACCTATTGAATAAAAAGAAGATTTGTGTGAGATATTAGCCTCCATAAAATATATTGATGTGTAAATATTCAGATTAATCATTTAAATGTTGAAATAAGAAAAAATTACAGATTTTATAAGATTTCTTACAATAGATGAAAATCAAAAATATTTTGAAAAATATATTTATTAAGAAAAATCCCATGTATCGCCTTTTGATAAGAATAAAAAGTTAAAAGATGGAAAAGTTTCCTTTTAGTTAGTAACAAAAATTATAAAGTAAATTAATGAAGATGACTTTAATCAAAATGACTATTCATCTGAAATTTACAATGAAACAAAAAAAGCTCTAATGAATAAAATATCAAATGAAGAAAAAATTTTAGAATTTTTAATATTTCTAATTTACCTCTCCACTTTAGATAAGAAATTCATGTAAAGTGGAGAAAATTCACTTAATTTATTAATTGAAATGAAAGTTGATCTTAAGTAATTAGGTCAAAAAAATATTCAAACTGAAAGTATGTCTATTATATAAAATTTGGTTGAATAATAGAATCAATTAGAATTAGATTAAATATATATAAGTGAAGTTAACTTTTTAAGAAAATAAATATTGAATTATTATTTGATAGATGATAGTACGCAGTATTTACTGAAGTTGTAGGGTCACAGTGAAGAGGTCAGATAAACATGCTTCTCTTCTGATGGTACTACAATAGCATCGTGTAGTGATGATTAGACTATTCGGTTATGGGATGTCTAGACAGGAAAACAAAAATCTTAAATAGAGGGTAATTGTGGTTAGATTAAATCAGTATGCTTCTCTCCAAATGATACTATTTTAGCATCTGGTAGTGATGATTAAACTATTCGTTTATGGGATGTTAAGACAGGAAAACAAAAATAGATATTTAAAGGTCATACAGATTAGGTTAGATCAGTATGTTACTCTCCTGATGGAAATACATTAGCATCTGGTAGTGCAGATAAATCTATCTTTTTATGGGATGTTAATAAAAAAAAATTAATATCTAAATTAGGTGGTCATAATGGACCTGTAAATTCAGTATGCTTCTCTCCTGATGGTAATATATTGGCATCTAGTAGCGCAGATAAATCAATTGTTTTATGGGAATTTAAGATAGGGCAACAAAAGTATAAATTAAATGGTCATCAGAAAAGTGTCTTTTAAGTATGCTTCTCTCCTGATGGTATGACATTAGCATCTGGTAGTGCAGATAAATCCATTATTTTATGGGATGTAAGGACAGGAAAAGAAAAATCTATATTAATAGGTCATTGTGATGTAGTTAGATCAGTATGTTTCTCTCCCGATGGTCTGGCGTTAGCATCTGGTAGTTATGATTAGGTAATTTATATTTGGGATGCAAAGACAGGAAAGTGTAAATCGATATTTAGATAACATTATAGGGAAGTTCTAACAGTATGCTTTTCACCTGATAGTACTATATTAGCATCCTGTAGTGGAGATAAGTTTATCCATTTATGGAATGCTCTATATCCATAAGATTAAAGTTCCTTCTATCTATTTTGAAAAAAAATATTAGAAATTCTATTAACTGAAATAAATTGTGAAAATTATACATATGAAATATTTATCGTTTAAAAATATTTTTTAAATAAAATTTTTATAATTTCTATTTTGATTTTATAATGATTTCCATAATGTATATTGTTAATTATTTATTTTGAATATTTCTTAAGTCTTATTCTAATTACTTCTATAATGATTTTTCTTGTGCATTCGATAATTATTAATACAATCTAGATTGATAGATAATTAGTATTATTAATTGTTATAATTTTACTAAAAAAAATATATTTAAATAATAAAGATTTTTATTAATACAAAGTAATTTAAGTTCTTGAATTAGATAGGAGCATTTAGATTTGGATTTGGATGCTATTTATGGTTATCAAATGCAATCATTTGATTATGTATTAATTGCGAATCTATTAAAGGGAATCAAATAGCTTGGAATTGTTGTTTAGTTAAAAATGAGAGATTTTTTGTTTTTAGATAATCAAAATGTTCAGATATTTCTATAATTATTTAGACTTATAATATTCTTGAGTGCAAAACACATGGTTTTACATCTTTTATTTACTTATTATCGATTTCGAAAAACAGATTTATCAAACATCACAAGATAGGATATTTAACAGCCTGAAGGGAGTCTTTTCAAATATGGTTTAAAAAATTAATCTCATGTGTGAAAAATTAAACATTATGTGGATGAGCGCATAATTTCAAGCTCGTCTTCAGAAATTTTATATTTACTGATTTGACAATCTCAAAACCCAACCATCAAAATTCAATTATAGTTTAATTTAAACTTTCAATATCATTATCATAACATCGAAAGAACATTTTTTTTATATGATTCATTTATTGTGACAGTTATAGAACAATATTTTTTCTTGGGTATTAGTCTCCTTTCTCATTGCTAGATTTAATGACATGGTTCTGAACTTTCTTATTCTAAGAGATTGGAGAAATCGATTTCTATGTTTATTTATGGAAGTCCTTTATACATAATTTCTATATTTTGACCAAACTGATTTATTTATTTATTAATAAAAATTTGAAGGCTAATGTTATGGTTAAATCCAAAGATTAAAAATTTATAGTTTCCTATAAATTCAAATTTTCCTATAATTAAAAAAAAGTATAATTAGTTTAAAATGATATCTGGGTAATTGACACAAACTTACCTCTAACCAAAATGAGCAAGAGCAGGTTTGATCAGACATGACATCCATCCTTAAATATTAAATTGCCTTCCTCACATTATAAAATAATAACTCATTTAAGTAGGTTGAAATTTTTCAAAAGGTAAATAAAATTCACAGTCACAATAATTTCATACAATGTTATACCATAATTCTTCATATTAGTGAAAACTTGAAATTAAAAGTAATATAACAATAGAATTTGTTTAAATACTTTTACACTGGCTATCGAATTCATAATGACCAGGTGCTATTTTAATTCTTTTAATCTTTTTTATATATTAAAAATTAAAAAACTATCAATTGTTCCTAGAAAAAAAGCTTAATAGGATGATGTAATGATATTTTTCAACCTATTGATAGTTAGGGTTGTGTAGTTCTTAAATCTGAATATATTTTGGAAATTAGAATATATAATAATTTAATTTTGAATACTTAATAATAAATAAGAAGTTGATATCTTTAGGCTAAAATCCTGTTTTATGATTAATATAATTATTCAATCTTCATAAATCTTTTCTTTAGGTTACTAATCTTTTCTCATGTTCATTTCTACCCATTTGCCAACTTTGATTCCATTTTTATATTAGCCTTCATAAGTGATTTCAGAACCCAAACTAAATCCATCAATTACTTCCACCCAGTTTCCAATTTTAATACCTTCACCTCTTTCATCATAAGATCCACCCCCACTAAGCCATTTATATTCTAAATTTTTACATTTTTTTTCCCTTATATTCAATATCCCATCTACTTACTTTAATACCATTTTTATATTCACCAACATAGGTGACTTCAGAACAGCCGTTAAAGCTATCGCTTAACTCAATCCACTTTCCAACTTTCAAACCTTCTCCTTCTTGATCATATGATCCACCCCCACTAAAAATTATATTATTCTTCAAATTTTACATTTATTCATATTCATACTCAATATTCCATCGACCTATTTTATTGCCATTTTTATATGAGCCATTATAAACTAATTTCGATTCGCTCCAAAACTCATCACCTAATTCAATCCACTAACCAAGCTTAACACCTTTACCATCTTCATCATATGATCCCCCTCCGCTAAAATATATAGACTTATTCATATTTACATCTCTTCTTCTTCAAACAAAATATCCCATCTACCAGCTTTATTTCCATTTTTATATTTTCCACTATAAGAGACTTGAGTCTATTTATCATATTTATCGCAAATCTCTATCCACTTACCAAGCTTAACACCTTTACCATCTTCATCATATGATCCCCCTCCGCTAAAATATGTAGACTTATTCATATTTACATCTCTTCTTCTTCAAAAAAAATATCCCATCTACCAGCTTTATTTCCATTATTATATTAGCCACTATAAGAGACTAATGAATCCTCGTTTAACACGTCATTAAACTCAATCCATTTCCCAATCTTTTTACCTTCACCTCCTTCATCATATTACCCGCCACATCTAAATAAATTTACTTTATTTTATTTAACTCTTACATCATTTAGAATTCCCTCATATAATCTCTTTTATTCCAAGTTTCCCATATTCCCACTGGCGTACCGTTTTTGTATTGACCTTTGTATATAATTTACGATTAGCCTGAAAACCTTTCGTTCACTTCGATCCACTTCTCTGACTTAGAGCCATTATTGTCATATAATCCGCCACCTCTATAGCATTATATTTTTTTAATAGTTTACATCAACTCTTGGAGAAAAAGAATATCCCATATGCCTACTTTTTTACCATCTTGATATTCCCCTTTATATGTTACTTAAGACATATCACAAAAACCCTTGCTCAATTCTATCCATATCCCATTTTTTTTAAATTATTCATTGTATAGTCCTCCTCCACTAATTAATTAATAATTTATCTTACATATTTCTATTTTTATAGATATATTTCCACATTCCATATTTCTAACCATTTAAGTATTTTCCATTTTCATGTACTTAAGCTAGACTAGAGTTTTACTAGATAACAATTTTACTTCTAATAATTCTGAATTAATTCATTCCATAAACCTATCTTTAAACCATTTTCATAGTAACCGCCTAATCCTTTAAGCAATTCTCCATGCCATATGGTTTTCCATTTTCCAGATTTTCTATTATTTTGTCCGTATTGACCTTCAAACTTAAGATACTTGATTTGATCAAAATTATTCAATAATTCAGAATTTGAATCAGAATACATAAATTAATCCCTTTTCAATAATGAAATACCCTTACATTCTTAAAATTGCTCCATTTTTTATATATTATATTTATCTATTTGAGTTTTATTTGATTTGGATTAAAGTTTTCCCAAGTTAGTTGTTAATATAATCTTATTAATCAATCTCGATTTCTATTATGCCTTTTTTCTAAATTAATGATTCTTAGCAAATCCTTGTATATTATTTTTTAAAATCCATATTTTATAAATATTAATTAGAATTATACTTTTCTTTAAATAATAATTTAAGATATNTCTTTTTACCTTCACCTCCTTCATCATATTACCCGCCACATCTAAATAAATTTACTTTATTTTATTTAACTCTTACATCATTTAGAATTCCCTCATATAATCTCTTTTATTCCAAGTTTCCCATATTCCCACTGGCGTACCGTTTTTGTATTGACCTTTGTATATAATTTACGATTAGCCTGAAAACCTTTCGTTCACTTCGATCCACTTCTCTGACTTAGAGCCATTATTGTCATATAATCCGCCACCTCTATAGCATTATATTTTTTTAATAGTTTACATCAACTCTTGGAGAAAAAGAATATCCCATATGCCTACTTTTTTACCATCTTGATATTCCCCTTTATATGTTACTTAAGACATATCACAAAAACCCTTGCTCAATTCTATCCATATCCCATTTTTTTTAAATTATTCATTGTATAGTCCTCCTCCACTAATTAATTAATAATTTATCTTACATATTTCTATTTTTATAGATATATTTCCACATTCCATATTTCTAACCATTTAAGTATTTTCCATTTTCATGTACTTAAGCTAGACTAGAGTTTTACTAGATAACAATTTTACTTCTAATAATTCTGAATTAATTCATTCCATAAACCTATCTTTAAACCATTTTCATAGTAACCGCCTAATCCTTTAAGCAATTCTCCATGCCATATGGTTTTCCATTTTCCAGATTTTCTATTATTTTGTCCGTATTGACCTTCAAACTTAAGATACTTGATTTGATCAAAATTATTCAATAATTCAGAATTTGAATCAGAATACATAAATTAATCCCTTTTCAATAATGAAATACCCTTACATTCTTAAAATTGCTCCATTTTTTATATATTATATTTATCTATTTGAGTTTTATTTGATTTGGATTAAAGTTTTCCCAAGTTAGTTGTTAATATAATCTTATTAATCAATCTCGATTTCTATTATGCCTTTTTTCTAAATTAATGATTCTTAGCAAATCCTTGTATATTATTTTTTAAAATCCATATTTTATAAATATTAATTAGAATTATACTTTTCTTTAAATAATAATTTAAGATATCTACCTTAAATTTTAATTTTTGTTGAAGCCTTAATTTTACATCTTATCAATATTGTTAAAATTATCTGGGTGTTATTATTTTAGTAATTAATCTCTCTAATTTTATAATACTTCTAAGATTAGCCATTTAATACAGATAATGCGATTTATCTTCTTTACTAGATATTTTACCTCCAAATAATTTAATTAATCAAACTATTAGCATTTTTTTAATCTTTAAATTCATTTTATACTTAAAAAATTTGCAGATCAAATTTGAATAAAATAATAATAATTCTACTAATATTGTTAAGTATTGCTAATTAATGAAAATGAGAAAAACAGGATAAAAAAGTTATATATGTTACAGAAGTTTCAGAAAAAACCAATAATTCTAAAAACTTTAAGAAATTTGAAGAACATATTCTATAGATTAGCTATTTTCACTTGAATATTTGATTAGGTAAAATTTAATTTATAAAAAAACTATATAGAAAGCTTATTAGTTTACTTGATTTGATGTTAGCCATCAGCGAATATCAAGTCAAAATATTGGATGAAATAGAATTGTTAGATTAGAATTTTAATCACAAAAAATGAGTATTAAATATTTTCTGATCAATATGTGTAATTATTATTATGAAATTATATCAATATTTATAGGTTTAATGATAGTCAAGATTTATAGTATAATAATGGTTAAAAGAAATCTGATTTATTGATTTGAATGGTGGATTTTATTTTGAAAATAATTACACATAATAAAATATGAAATGGATAAAAAGGAGATATATGGGAGAAGATTGAATATGAAAATTGATAAATCATTTTAAATAGAAATAATAATAACAATAGAAAACTATAATCGTTTAGCTGTTTTCCTTCATTTTTATTGTTCTTCTACAAAAAATTTCCATCTTCATCGATAATTAAATTAATTAATTTACATTTCTTATTCTTACTTAGTCTTAATGTTGGTTTTTTCTCTTCAAGTATTGTATTATCACCTCCAATTTTTATTTTTTCTCTAATTTAAACCTTAGAAACCACATTTACCCCTACATACTCACACTATCCTTAAGAAATTTGGACAACGGTCAAAGAAGATACCCTTCATTAATTTAGAGCTTATTATAATCTGACCTTCATCATACCAATTTAGTTATTTAATTTAATTTTTAGGAAAATCTAATTGCCTAATCTGAGATAATTACTAAAATTAATTAAACTAAATTTAAAACAATCAAGTAGAAATATTATATCTATTGGTAAGAAAGTTAAGGTAAATCCTTTTTGAGACTTTTCAGAAAAGAAATTCATTCTAGAATAATTATGGAATTATAAATAATTAACTGTCGCTACTTTCTCTAGAATTAATAAAGATCTTTGAAAATTATCCTTAAGCATAAAATTTTGATTAATAGAATTTAAAATCAATTTTTCTTAAATGATCAATATAAAAATAAAAATGTTGTTCATATTTTCTATAATTATATCGAAACATAATTTTATAAATATTCTAATACCTAATTATGTCTTAAATAATTAGATTATTAAATGTTCTCAAATCTTATTATTTATTTTATTTTTGTTAATAACTCTTATTTCATCTAAAATGTTAATTCAAATATATTAAATTATTAAATTAATTATAATATATTTTATGAAAACAATTTTCGAATTAATTCATAATTGTTTATAAATGTATAACAATATTATAAGTAGATAGAAAGATTTATCGATTTTGAGTTTTAAGACATTTTATTATCAAATATTGAATCAATCATTCTTTTTAATTAATCTAAGAACTTAATGATTGAATTTTTGCACTTTAGATTTCCAAAAACTGATTAATGTGTTATCAAAAGAGTTCTTTATTTTGTATATTTCTAACAGCAACTTAAATATATTATTTAAAAATGGTTGATTAAATTAAAATGATTAATTTGATATCTGATTAATTCTTTTTTTTTGGACTAATCTAAACAAATAAAATTTATTGATAATTGATTGAACTCTTATTTCTGTAAAAATTGGATACCATGTTCAAAAGATAAATATATTGTTGCATTCATCAAATTATTCATTTGATTATGCTTTTTGCTATATTAGAATCAATTTTAAAACACATTGTGAACTACCCACATCATTGAGTTCTGATGATGATTGTAAAACCTATTAAAAAGGATGTATAACAACAGGAAAATGTTGTTTTTAGCAACAACAAAAACCATTATGTACTACATATTCAGTAGAAATAGTAGAATTTAAATTAATACAATTATTATATTACTTGTTTTGGATATATTGGATCTGATGGAGTTTGCAAATGGTGATGCTGGGGGTTTTAGTGTAGAACAAGAAAATGTGAAAATAGCTCATTCAATACTAATGAACTTTTTTAATATTACCAAAATACTTGTAATGCTTGTAAGACAAATGGCAAAACATGTGTTTCAGCATTAAGAGCTTGTTATACCTATAAAAGTACTACCACCATTTGTGCTATATATATTGGTACTGATGGATATTGTAAAGGAACCAGTGCAACAACTGAAACTTCTAGCTTACCAATAGAGCTCCAGATACAACAACTACTGATGATGCTTGTCATAAATATTAAGTTATGTGTTACAAAAACTAATTTGAAATCTTTTATTACTTATGATGGTGATGCTACTAGTTGTAAATCAAGAGTTGGATCTGAAGGTATATGTATATGGAAGACTGGAACCAAATGTATTGCTAGAGATTGTACTTAAGCAGCAGCCAATTTAAATACTAATTCTCTTTGTGCCAATTATTTCTCTTATTTTTTTTACTACTAGATCTAGATGTGTTTCAAAAACTACTAAATAATAAAGTTATGAAGGTCCTAATAATTGTTCATGGTAACCTATTTGTACTAGTACTTCAAACTGTAGTGCATTTACGAAAAAATCAATTTGTGTAGCAAATTAAGCTAGAGTAAGGATTTTTGATAAAAATAATGAAAATGGAAATCCATTATTTATTTTTGTATCAAAAAAATTTGATAGGTTGAATAATACTTGTAAGGAATTGTCTTGCTCAGATTTAACAGGAGCTTATAATAATTCTGATGCTAATTGTGCAGCAGAACTATTAATATGCATTAGTAATAGATTTGATGCTTATATAATTAAATATGAATGTAGTAACTTTCAGGAACATAATCTACTAGTTTAAGTTATCCAGGTATTGTACTAATTCATCAACAGCTACTGATAATACTCCTTGTGTATAAAGAAAATGTTCATATAATACATAAGTAACTGATAATGCTACATGTGCTTCATTCTTACCTGAATGTATCAGTAATGGAAAAGGTTGTGTTGATTAAATTACTCCATGTGCATCAATGAAAGGAACTTAAGAAAATTTAATAAGATATTTGATTATAAGACCTGATCTATTGATAAATTTACAACTAATTAATGTTACAACTGTTCAACAGCCACTGAAAATGATTATTGTAAAATCAAAACTTGCAAATTAGCAGAAAACTAAAATGATGGTTCATGTGATTCATTTTTAAATGGATATTTCTATAATGGAAATGGAAAGTGTGTTGAGCCAAATGCTAATGACACAACTTCAACAAGTTATGAAGGTGTTTTGGCTTTTTGTGAATCTGCTGTTGTTGGAAGTAATAGTTCTAAATATTGTTTTGGAAGATCTACATCAGCTACATCTACTCTTTAAGCTTGTACAGATAATACAACAGCAATCAAAATTGAAAATTGTGAGGATTTCAAGGTAGAATGTATAGTTAAATCTGAAGTAGGACGTGTCAGGAAATCAAAACCTTGTTCTTAATAATCAGGAACTGTTACTTCTTGCCCTAACTTCAGTGGTGATTTAAAAGTCTCTTCAATTTGGACTAAATTTAAATGCACAAAATATTATGCTTACTAAGTTAGATTATGCTCTAATAAAATAAGTCCTTAATCAGCTAAAGATTGTCTTGATCATAAATCTACTTGTAGATTTTTAAGGCTGGATCTGCATACATTGATGCAACAGCTTGTAGTAGTTATAGTCTACCAGATACTGCAACTACTGATTAAGAAACGTTTGATTATTTTACAAGTATCAAAGATAACGTTGAGTTATTATTTGGTTATACATCAGGAGCAACTAAATTTTCAGCTAGAACTTGTGAATAATTCTTAAGCAAATATACTTCATTATTATGCACTACTTATTTATAGAAGAATATCTCTACTTCTACTGATGATGCATGTAAATTAGCAGGAACCATATGTTATTTACCAAATAAAGCTCACTGTGTATATAGTTATGCTTCTACTGATTCTAGTGATATTCTTAATAAGCTCAATGTAGAAGGTTTATAAATGAAAAGGACTTGCAGGTACATTCAAAACAGGTAAAACTAAATGCAGTTTATAAGATAGTTGCAACATTAATTATTTAAACAGATGCAAGGACCTGTACCGATTCAACTCTTTTGGCAAGTAAAGGAGAATGTTAAAAAGTAACAGATTCAAATTATCTCACTATATCAGAAACTTGTAGTGATTACAAAATAGATTCTACATTTTTAAATGTAAGATTTTTCAAAGATTTGAATTTAAATAAATTTCAAGACAAAATTTGGCTTAGATTTTTGTATATTTTTTAATCTTAAAAATAATAAAATCAATGAATTCTAATTCTGTCTTAATAACATTTCATTAGGGGATATTTGATATTAATGTTTGGAATTTAGGAACTTTTTGAAAAAACTTACAATTTTAGGCTTTGCTTTAGCCAAATTTTTTCTTATGAAAAATCTGTGAGATATTTAACTCAAAACCAAGACATTAAAAAGAGACAAAAATTCAAATTCAATCATTTTATATTTATAATTCACTAATACCTATTAACCTAAAAAAAATTTTAAAGAATTATGACCCTTATTTTCACTAAATTTAAATTGAGAAATTCTTCGAATTATTATTAATTAATTATTCGCAAATTCAAAAGATCTTTAATTATAATACTATGAGCATAGCTGTTCTATAAGTTTAACTATTTTTAAACCCTACCTGGAATTGCATTTAATCAATACGTATTATTTCAATGTTTAACTTTTTATATTAAAAATAATTATTTTTAAATCAGAGATTTTTAGAATAAATTAATTTTAAAAATTCACTAATCCTAAGGCTGATTTATTCCTCTAAAGGTATCTAAGATTTATTTTGAAATTTAGAATTTTTATGAAACTTAATTATTCATAATTTTAATTGCACCGACTCACTTAATTAGGTTTAACAAATTAAAAATGGAAAGAATATTTAGCTAGAAGTTTTCCAGGTTGGATTAATGAATAATTAAATTTCTAATTATTTTACATAAATATTTATAAAATTTTTTAATAAATATAGGATGGTTTTTAGTTTCCTAGGTGGATTAAACTTCTCAAACTAGCCATGCAATTATTGAAAAAAAAAAATTATCTTGTCAAAAACCAAACAATAAATTATCAGAACTTAATTAAAATGCTGTTCCTCAACCAGACTACATATCACAATAGTTATTAAGTTTGTGTAGATCTTTCAATTTGAAAAAAACGATATAATTGTATATTTTTTGAAGAGTTCTTGTCATGTTTGAGAATACAAGAGAATAATTTTAATTTTTAAAGTCCTCACATCCAAATTAATTAGACTTAAATTTTAAGATTGATATTACTTTTTAATAAGGAATCATTCCATCTTTCTTTTGAATATTATCAAATACTAAAAACATGTCTTATGAAAGTTGATGTGAGTAAATTTAATAATTTAGCAATAAAATATTAAGAAGCTTTCTAAAAATATAAATCTTACTAGTATTATCAAATGGAAATCTTTAACATGAAATAGCCAAATATTAAAAAGGAATATATTTATTATCAATGTCTAATTTGAAAGATTTAGGAAGTCTAGTCTATCTTTTTCAAAGAGAACGAAAGAAATCAAATTATTTGAGAAAAAGGACTGCTAGCTTAAATGGAGCTATTCTTCAATAAAAAAATAATATTCTCATAAAAAAGCTCTTATAATTAATCATAAAAAATACATCTTATATAGACAACGATCTGCTCTTATTTATCTTGAATTATCACGAATTTGCTTTTCAAATTTTTTTTGAAGAATTGATGTGTATCTGAAAAAGTTAAAGAGATAAAATTTAATAGTAAAAAATAAGAATTTTTTAATTACTTTCAAAATGAAATTTATCATTAACTTTTATCCACTTTTATAATGATAAGGAAAACACAAATGAATAATGGTCTTGCAATCTTAGATTTAAATTGTTTAAATTATTAAAATATTAAATTTAATTTAATTATTAGTCTTTACTTTACATTAACTAGAATAAGAATATAAGAACTATGTCGGGGATTAAAGGTGATCAAAGATTTATCAGAATTAGGAACACAATATGCAGAATATATGAAATGTGTTTATAAGACAGGTAGTGCATGCGAAGCTATTTCTGCTTGCTAAGATATTATTTCATCTTCGAGTTAAGAAGAATATACAACCCATAAACCAGGATTCTTATATTTTAATTGAAAGTGTTATGCTGCAGTTTTTTCAGATGGTTTACCCTTCAATATTTCTAACCGAAATTACAATAGATTTTTTTAATTTCTTTATTGGAAAAGTATCCAAGAAGCTAGTGATTATTGTAGATTAAAACTTGATTAAAGTAAATGTGAACTTGCAATTAATAAAGATTGCAGTGTTTTAGCAATTCCTACTTCAGACAGTTTGGATTCAAATAGCGATTTCAATTAAAGTGCATTCAAATTTGCATATTGTCTAGCTTAATCAAATTTAGAGAGAACTTAATTATATAAATATTCTACTGGAACAACTTTTAGCGATGGAACATGTGCAGATATTTCATCCCCTACTAGTTAAGGAGATTGTTCCATTTACTTAAATAATAAACATAATTAAAAAAGATTAGTTCTAGTGATTGTAATGATTATGATAGTTAACTTATGGATCCAGGATTGACACCAACATAAAAAGTAACATTTTGCTAATTCTTTAAAAAAAACCTGATTAAACTAAAATTTGTACTTTTTATTAATATAATTCAACTTCTCCAACTTAATGTGTTGATGGTGGTAATTGTGATTCCTATGGCAATTTGCCAAGCAATAATGATAATGATGATTCAAATAGTTGTTTAAGTAGAATTAGTGATGTTTGGTGTAAAATTTGCATTCACATCTGGTGATGCTAAATGCAGAGATTTTTATTGCAAACATATAAAAAATCCGACCTCTTAAACGGATTGAGATTGATAAAAAAATGGAAAATTATACTTTTATCTCTTAGGAACATGTTAAAATAAGTTTACAGCCTGTGCTGATATCCCTGCTTAAAGTTGATATGAGAAGGTAAATCAAAACTGTTGCTTAATTTAGTTACATTTTAAGAACAACTTGTAATTTTCAAGAAAAATGTCATCTTTATAGTACATTAACAGATGAAACAAATAAACTTACATATATTTCGGTAATAATTGTGTCATATTGGATAAATGTGAAAGTTATAATGGAACATTCCCCCTGCATTAGGACCTGCAGAAGGTTCATAAGAGACAGAATGTAAAACAGTTAAATCATCCAATGGCTATGCATACATTATGGACGCTACAAAAAATGCAGAGCATAAGTTTGTGCTGATGATGATGCAAGTGCAAAAGATTTTATTAATAATTTTCTCTATTATTCCAATAAATGCTTAACTAAGGATAGTTGAGCAGATTATATGAAATAAGGTTATGATGATGAAGTTAAATAAATATATGGTATGAAGGAGTCTAGAATGATATAGGAGATTTTTGTGCTTAGAATTCATCTAATTTCATATGTAGAGATAGATCATGTTAGTGTAAGGCATTTTATGAAGATTTAATTGTTTAAGTTATCTTAAATCTTGTAGAACGAATGGAACTATATGTGTTTCATATAAAGAATGTACTTCAAACAATGGATTAGTTGATTTTTGCAATGCCTTATCTGATTCAACAGGAAAAGATAGATGTAGACCTATTGTAACTGCTATTCTTACATCAATTAGAACAAGTTATGACAAAGTTAAAGCCACAACTTATTCTGAATGTGATACTTATTTAAGTGTAAGTGTCACTCGTGGTGCAGGATGTATTCAAAATTCAGAACCAAGCACATCATACAGAGGAACTAAACAATAATGTGAATTATTTAAAAAAACATACTGGATTAGATGATAAGAAAAATTCTACTTATGAATATTGTCTTTGAGATGCTGGAAATATTGCCACAAGTAAATGTAAAGTAAGAACTTGTGCATATTATATTATTGCTACTGCAGATGTTGAATATGTTATTTTTATGAAAGAATGTATTAAAAAATGTATAGGATGTGTGGAAGCATCTTCATTTTGAACTGCATTGAAGGGAGATTAAGAAACTTGTGCTTAATTCTTGGGCACTTCGGGTAGAGATTATTTTTGGAATACTTCAACTGCATTGGTTAAAGCCAATTGCACTAAAAATAAATGCAGCGATATCTCAGGAAAAAACAATAAATAATGTATTGATGGCATGCCACCTTTTAAAACTACTGATGATCCTTTTTGTATTTTTGATGGAACTTCATATATTATTTATGGAAAGAATTATAATGCATTCAATCGAACTGAAGAGACATGCCCTACTTCTTTAGGTAGAGATTGTTCATGTAAAGCTACAACTGTAAAGGATCATGTGCTAAGAGATTATGTACAGAAGCACCAAATCCTCTTATAACTGATGCTGATTGTTAGAAATATCATTAAGATTCTTACACAACTGGTTATGGATGCACAAGTACTAAATCAAGTTTCAATTTAACATCATAAGTTGCTTGTAAATTAATTAAATTTATAAATCAGATTTTGGAGAGAGGGAAATATTTAAATATTTGCCAAAAATGTATGATTTGATTATAAATCATAACTTTTATTACTGGTTTAAAATATTTTTGATGAAACCTTTAGTGGAAAGAAAAGATCATATTAATGTTGAGAGGAAACATCAAATTTTTAAGCAACCAATATAAAACTAAAAAATTTTATTTACCTTCCCCTTCTATTATATTTAATTACTTTTACTTTCATCACATCAAAAATATGCTGCTTTAAAGTTGTATTTGGATATAATGAAAATTTATATGAATAGAAGAGCAAGAAAATTATATAAATGATCTTTGAAGAGAATAATCGATTTTTCATACACATTTAATAAGAAACAATATGAGTGGAAGTATTATTTGGTTACAAGAATAATCAATCTAAATTGAGTATTTAATGACGAAACCACATCAATATTTTACTCCTTAACATTATTAATTATGCAATATTAAAATTATTAAAGTAATGCAAAAGAAAAATATCGAAATTTTGCGAAAATATTTGAAAACTTTTATGAATATATAAGAGTTTAATAAATAAAAATAAAAGGAAAATTAATGATTCGCAAATTTAATAATAAAGTCCAAAAATCTTTAACTCTACAATTGTATCATTTATTTGTTTTAATAATAAATTGCCCATTTTTGGAAGTCAGAATTAGAATCTAAATTTAATTAATAGAAGCCTGAAATTTTTATAAAAGGTCAACAGTTTAGCTACATATAATTGCATAACAAACAGCAAATTTATAAAAAGTTTAGAAATTATAAATCATGCAAAAATAGTATCAATTAAGTCATCAATCTGTAATAATCACATATATGATACCTTAAAAAATATATATCCTTTCATTTAAAAAATAAAATTATGGAAATTGACTATTTCAAAAAATAAAGAAAGACAAATTGCAAGAAATTTTTCCAAAGCCTCTTTTTAATAATTGTTTTTTACATGAAAACAAAATGGTTACACCATTTCTCTAACTTTTGAATTACATCTCCAATTAAATCTAGCAGAATTTTTCAGTATTCACATTTCATTCTGGCAAATCTTATAGCAAGATTAAAGAAATAGTTAATATCGAATTCTCAAACAATTAATGATAGAAAGAATAACTAAGAAATTATCATTCAAGAATATATGAAAATAATTTTATAAGTTTCTTAAAAATTCAAGCCTCCAAATCTAATGAAATTGTATTTCAAAAAAAACAAGAAAAAAAGTAATTTTTTGAAACATACTTAGTACATTTTTGAAAAAAAAGAACAAAAGTATTTTACATATCATACTGATGGTCAGCTTTGTGAATAGACTTAATATCTGATTTACTTCAGGTTCTTAATGGCATTTAGAATTTTAATTTTTGCTCATTATCTAATAATGAAGTATAGAATAAATTAAAATCTCCATGTTCCTAATGTGTATGTGCTTTATGATTGGGGAATGCTTCAATTGTCAAAAATTCTTCTTACATCTTCAACTTCTGGAAATTTTGTGAATTCATCAATTTTTTTTTCAAATTTCAAAGGCATATATTTGAAATATAAATTAGATGTAACGAATGGAGTTCAAACTCAATTGTTTTAGTAACTTTTACTGTGTTAGAGGGGAGGATTATTAAACCCAGATCTTTAGCCTGAAAATTGAAAAGCCCAAGCTTTTTAGTCTATCCTGATAAAATCAGAAAGCGTCAACTCTATCAATGATATAAATGTGTAAATTCAAATCAATATTAACCCAACTTAGAGAATGGGCTAATCTTCTACGCTAGAATGATATTCTAAACGATAAATATTAACTCAATACAACACTCTGAAAATGAAGTTTGATTTTGTTAACAGAGTATTTGCAATAGACGTAAGAAGTACTTGATTTTAGAAAAATAAAAAAAAAATAGCAAAGTTGATATATTAACGAGTTGCAATTTATAATACTAAATTTTTAATCATTCCTTATCATAATTAAGTATTAATAAATATATGTTTATATACATTTTTTATACCGGTATGGATTTATTATTTAAATTTTATTAAGAAATGTTAGCCTTAATGAATAAGACAACATCTTCATTACGGGGAGGTGGTTGTGGAACTTTTAGAATGTTTCCTAGAACATAAGAAAACTTAAAGTCAGATATTTTAGATATAGAAAATTTCATTAACAAATTTAATCATTTTGTTGAAATAATTTTTACTAAAGCTGCTGTTGCTATCAATTCGATAGAATCTTAAGAAATAATGATAGCCATATAATGGTTTGTTTTTTAAGAGGAAATTATCTACAAACTTAATAAGAATCCCTTAAATATCATAAAATCATACAACCTAATTGTAGAGGGAATCAAAAAATTATTGCAAAGCTGTTTGATCTATATTAGAACAGATTCGTTTAAATGTTTGTATATCTTATAGATTACAGCAGCTCTATCCAAAGTCATATTTAGTTTCCATATAATGAATAGCGATAGAATTATGAATTTTAATTTATAAAAGTAATTCCTAGAAATTTCTGATGATTTAAAATAATAAATGGAAATAGAGAAGAATGATTTGATTTAAATTTAAATGGAAGTTTATCTTTTTTTAACTAAAACTTCTTTCGAGATAGCTCCAAATAACAATCAGGAAAGGATAGATATTTTAAAAAGATTTGTAAATGGTATATTTGAATCATTAAATGGTTTGAAACCTAATGCTGAATTACTTGAATCCTTATATTTGGCAGCCAGCTAAATTCACAAAATATATACAATTTAAAAAAATAGGAAATAATATGAAGTGTATTTTTAAATAGACATGTTATAATGGGAAATTATAAGTTGTTTTAGAAATGAAAAATTTTTATTTCTAAAAAAAGTAATTTTACAAATTTAAGAAATATATGAAGAACTTGTGAAAAAATCAAATAATTGGAAAAATCATTTTTTGTGGATTTAAATGATTGGGAAAATTTTAATATTTAATCCTCTTATTACAAAAAAAAGATTAAATGAGTTAACCAACTCTAACGATTTTGTAGTTAATTTAAGGTAAATATGGAAGGAATATCAGAACAAAGGATTACTTATTTAGTTGAACCATACAAATGACTAAGCTGTTATTTTACTTAGTTAAATTTAAAATAATAAAATTATAGAACTTGATAGATAAATGTTGGAAGATAGTTTCAGAGGATGGAAAGACTTTCTTATACTTAAACAACATTTAATTGGCTAATTAAATGAAAAAATACCATATACAATTAATTCCTATTTAAGATGTAAATTTGATTTGTTGAGACAGGATCCCTAAAAAAATGAAAAAAATTTAAATATTGAGAGAATGAAAATGCTTTTAAGTTTCATTATTCCAACTAGCTTAATTAATTTAATTAAATAAAATATTGAAAAATTGGGGGAGGTGATTAAAGTTTAGAAATCATTTAGGAAAAATGAGTAAGCCCATAAAAGTCTATTAAAAAGCACTGTTAATTCTTAATTAAAAAGGATCATTTGCAACTTATCAGATTATTTGCAAAACACACAAAAGATTCTCAAAATCTTTTAGCTGAATTAGAAGAAAAATTATTGTTAGACTGACTAACTCTAAGAGAATGACAAATTAGAATTTAATAATTTATTTTAGCTTAAATATTTGTTGAAACTATTAGAAGAAATATTATTATAAGCAGTTTAAGAAATTAGGAATAAAAGAAATCCATTCTGCAATCAAGATGGCATAACTGATGAAATAAAAATACTTTAGTAATAGAAAGAGTTGATTTAGGAGAAATTAAAAAATCTGAATCTAAAAGATAACCAGTTTTCATTTGTCAATGAGTTACAGTAGAAGCTTCTTACCTTGCTAATTGCAACTCTTGACTATAAGAGCTTTCTGAAAAAAGCTCACAGCATTTTAAAACTTGTTGAAGATTCTAAAAAATAAATCTAAACACTAGAAATTTTGTTACTTTAAAAGAATAACTTTATTTAATGCTTTCAGAGTTTATTGAATCAAATATATTTTGAGGAAGATCAAAAAATTTAAAAAGATTTTTAGGAATCCATTTTAAGTTTTAAGACAATACTAATTTCACAGTATGAAATAGAGTCTGTTGAAGAATTTGGGGAAATTAAATAACAAATTTCTAATATGCTATCGTTTTAATTTGTTAACAACTTAAGATTGAATAATTTAAAGCTTCAATTACAGCTAATTGCCTTGAAGGAGTCCTTTTAAAATATATTTCTAGCCAAATTGAAAGAATCTTAATCGTTAATAGAAGTTATCGATTTGGATGAGTTTCTTGTTAATGTAATTAACAATTATCCAAAAATAATAATTTTCTGTCACGAAAATGTTTACAAATAAATTTTTATTGAATTAACAAGCATGTAAATTACTGAACAAGACTATTAAAATAAGTTATCAAAATAAAAAGGATTAATAGAATACCTAACATTGATATTAAATTTAGAAGAATAACTGATAGATTTAGAAAAAATAGATTTAGAATTAATTGATAAGGAATTTGGAGAATTATTTAAAGAAGAATCCTGTTCTTCCTCTCTAACAGAAAGAATTATAAAAATAATTGAAAATGCTTAAATTGAAAATTCTATAAAATCTGTGACTACTGAGCAATTTAATCAATCAGAATTGAATTTTGAGATTGAAAAATATGAGAATGTGTGGAAATAATTAAGAGTTTTAAAGAAAAATTACAATTGTCAAGAAAACTAAAATTTCAAAGAAGTAATTAGACATATTGAGATGATAGTTGAGCTATTAAACAATTCCTAAAATTAAAATTTAGAAATTTTTAAAATACCAATTATGGAATTGTTAGAGTAGTTAAAAAGTATATAAAGTGAATTTCAATAAAAACTAAAGAATGATCAATGTTAATAAAATAAAAATGATTAAATTCTTCCTGACCAAAATCCTATTCAAGAATAAAATATTGATTCTTGTGATCAAAATACAACCCAGATTAAAGGCAATCAAGAACATGTAAAAGAATTATAAATCATTATCTCTATTCTGAAATTATTA